AGCGGACCCGGACCCCACTTTAGGGTTTCCAGACTGTTGAGGGAAGAACACTGACTTCTTAAAAGCAGCTACTGAGCACACTCATGGCTATGCTCTTTTAAAGTGTGCCTCCTATCACAATAATTAATTAAGACATACCAAGTGTCCATTGTGCAGAAGGGGATAAATGCTTCCTTACTGTCTGTGCATTTTTTCAAAGGTACAAATTGGTTTTAAGACAAATTTGAAAGGATTGCTATTCAGGAAAAAAGGCTCAGGACAGCAAAAATGTTTCTATGAGTATTGATATAAATGTGAAAGCACAGCCAAAATCTGAGTGAGTGGGTATCTATCAGCTTTCTGAGCTACAGGTTTTTTTTGAAAGATCCTGTAACTAGATCCTGCCATTTTTGAAAGAACCGTGTCTAGACTGCAGTTTTACTTTTGAAATGGGGCTTGTTCAAAAGAGTGCCATGATGGGATTATGCAAATGAAGCATGGGATATTTAAGTCCCCGCTTCATTTGCACTTTTGAAGTGCCTCATTTACATCCCTCTGTTGACAGAGGGATGTAATCCAGACGTAGTCCTTGTGCAGTGAATGGAGTTATTTGAGATGTGTCTCCCTGCGGGTTCTCCACATCGGGGGAGCATGCACCCATACATCTTTGACTGGAAAGTAGCAATGCATATTTGCATTTCAGTAGCAGTGCATATTTGTCACACATGTGGGGCATGATGCTGTGTAGGGCTCCTATCAAGGCTATATAAGGCCTTGCAGTTGAACCTCCCCTAGTTCCTTCTCTACTGCAAAGACCCATAAAAGAAACTGAAGGGGGAAGCACAGTAAGGCACCCACAGGGGAAAGACACATCAGAAAACTCCAATTACAGGGCATCCCTGCTATAAGTCGCTCTGGCATACTATTGACACTTATAGGAACTGATGCATTATAAATCCTCCCCGCTCTTAAGTCATGTGCAACCCCTCCCTCCTTCCCAAAACCACCCAATTTGCGCAAATGGAAGTCAGCCATGGAAAAAAAATTCCCCACTTAAAGTTGTTTCACTATAAACCCAAGTGTTTCTGATGTCAAGCTCTAGAAATCTTCCAATAGAACACACTTACACAGGATTTCCAGGCTACACTGCATACTCAAAATAGCTGGGAGTTCATATAAAGTTCAGATAAAAATGTAGATGCTTAAAAGTATACCAAGTGAGAACTCTGAAAACATTCACCATTATTACCTCCTCTTTTCTTTTGCACTGCCACTTTTGGGTAGGCGGTCAGTTTATAATATCACAACAGCAATGTATTTTATGCTCTTTTCTTTACTACAGGAATTCTGCTTGTTGAAGCATTAACTCTTTCTACCAATAATTTGAATTATTGATCATCAGCTGGCTGCTCAGAAACCTAGTACATTATGAACTATCGTTTACCATCCAAAGAAGAGCTGCATTTTTACTTGTGACTTGGTCTTCCTTAATAGTCTAAATTGATATTTATGTTCCTATGAAACTGCAAAAGATAAAGTATCAACATTTCCAAGAGCCATTACTGGATCAAGCTATAATAACTCAGAGTTCAATAAGATAGGCTATAAAGTTAGTAAAAATCAACTTGCAAATCCATTTCACTTATGTATTCCAGCAATTTTAGAGCAAGTGTTTTGAAGCTGTTTATAAATCTCTGCGGGAAATATTTTTGAACAGAGTTTGTAAGGCCATTTCCAAAGTACGCTTCAAGATTAAAAATTAAGCAAAAGTTATACAGAGGGAGAAAAACAAGTTGCACTTGGCTTTAGTAATAAGATAAAGATGTATACTGATGTATCTAGGGCATGTTTGTCCTTCTGTGTGACCCATAAAGTCTTAAATAATTCACTGTCAAGGTTATTTGAACAGCTGTTCTAAACCTGTTTCTGCTTTTTTTGCTCCTAGGAATTTTGTAAGAGGTGAATGCTTCATCACATTTCGGTATGTATAATGTTTGCAGCAATCAGCATCCCAACATGAAATAAAATTCTTCAACAGTAAGACAAGAGGTTGCAGATTTCTGGACAATTATTTCATGTCTCAGCTGGTGTAAGAGTATAGGACTGAAAGTGGTAGCCTTTGACCACCTCAAGGAGCACAATAATCTATAAAACACAGGCTTTAGGGTCTAATTCAATACATGAATACGTTTATTTCACTGGGCCTTGAATGTCCTATAGCTTTTCTGAAATAGTGCAATATTTTAACATGAGAATTCTATCTAGACAATCCAGCTAGATGTGCAGTCTGGGCCATCCTAAACAGCCTTTATGATCAGTGGCAAACAGTGCACTAAGACTGCAGGAATGGCATGAAAAATAGTCAAATATATTAGTGGATATATTTCTTTGGCAATTCTTGGAATATTAAATTCACCTAATAGAATATGACAAGCTTTGGAGCTAATAGAATACAGAAAAATGTATGTCACATAAATTATTCAACTCTACTAGTAAAATTTGTCAAACAATGTATGATGCACTGAATACTACTCAACCAGTGATACAGAACCACTCAGTAAAATGCCGATGAGCCAATAAGCACTCATATACCAAAGCACTGAGTACAGCATAAAAGCAGACAGATAAACAAGGCTGCAGTAACTAATAGGAACCAAACATTACAATGTACTATGGTTTCATTCAAAATCTTCTGTTGAGAACTTTCTATAATATAATTGTTTTTTACCATCTCTTCCTTGATACAACACACACACACGAATCATCAAATCACAGAATATTAGGAAGAGACCTTGGGAGGAGGTGATCTAGTCCAACTACCTGCACAATAAGGGACCAACTCCAACTAAATCAGCCCAGCCAGGGCCTTGTCAAGCCCTGACATATACATACACACACCAAATATTTGACATTTTCTTTGCTCCTACTTTTCCTCTCTCTTTCTTTTGTACTCATCTCTTTCCATTAATAGCTTTCTTAATTGTATGTTTTCTTTTCTGATTTTAACTTCGGGGGTTGGGAGGGGAGTCTGAATCAGATCATAAAAAAGGAAGTGAGTGAGGATTCAGTATTTACGAAAGTGGAAGCTTGACAAAGTCTGGTGATTGAAGTCCTCAATTTAGCCACCAGAAAAGTGAGAATGTAATTCACTCTCTGTCTATTCAGCCCTTGGTATTCCTGAGACTACCAGTAAGAAGTCCCATGAGCGCCACTTCCTAGCATAGTTAGCATGAGGGGAACTCCTATTCATCCACCAGGCAGTGGAATAAGACCATATAAGTCATCGCACACAGGGTGATAAACTAACTCAATTTTTTTGCTAGATTCCTATCTTCATTTCCCCCAAACTTTATTGCTTTTTCTATTCTTGAAGCCTTGCAAAATAGATGACATTATCCTTCCAGCCAAAGAACATCAGATGAAACCCAACTGCACTTCTTAATTGGACAGAGGGATCCCTGCAGGAGCAAAGTAAGGCACTGTCTACCCATTATAGGCTGATCACATTAGCTTGACAGCATTCTCAGGCCCTGCTGACACAGGAAATGAGAGTCGGTAGCAGTGAATGATATCGAGCTCATCTGCAGTGCAGAGTGCTAGCCTTTAGCAGCAGGCCAGCTTATCACCAATGCACCATATCTATATTCAGAGCAACAGGCCCCGAACAGGCCTTTTGGAGCCTTCTTGGATGGGGCAGAAACAGATGCCACTCCAGAATAAAAGTCATTTGAAATGAAGTGCACTACTCCCAGAGATCTAAGATGCAGCTTTTACTTTCATGACTGGTGGCAGATTTAAAATGCCATGTAAAATCTGCATTGTGTGGCGAAGATGCTTGTCCTTTCCCCACTCAGTGGTCTGTAAGAGTTAGGGGTCAGAGCTTATCAGTCAAAGATGGTATTGAGTTGCATAAACTCTAGAAGTACTAATTCATTTCACCAGCACCTCTGAAAAAAATTGGCTAGCTGAACCTATTTTAAAACTGCCCTGCTTCACCTGAGATTTCCATAAAGTCTTGGGAGAGTATAATTCATTAGGATCAAAGACTCATGGTAACTGAGGCTATGTCTACACTACAATGCTATTTTGGGATGCTGGAGTATCCTGACATAGCTATCCCGCATCATAAGAGCAAACCCATTATTTCAGGCTCGCTATTCTAATGTCTCTATAAACTTCATTCCACTGAGACGTTTTGGAATAGCGGGTTATTTCAAAATAAGATCGAAATAAGATACACAATTTGCGTAGCAAAAATTGCATTATCTTATTTTGAACTACAATGCAGTGTAGACATAGGCCAAAAGTGTTTACAAAAACTATAGCAAAACAGTAGCAATTTTCACAGATCTATCGGTGCAGATAATCCCTGGCGAGGAACTGGGTTTATAGATCACTGTGGGAAGGGTCTTGAGTTCTTGCCCAATAGGCACACTCCTCCCCTTGAAGCATTATCATATTCAGGTGACCATGACTGCAATATATAGCAGTTGAGGTACAAGATAAATGTTTTCCTTTCATTCCTTTTCACAATTTTATTTAGTCTGATTTCATTTTCTCTTATAAATATCTGCTGTCTGCAGTTAACTCTTCCAATGATGTAAAGGGTTGCCCGCCTCTGATTTTACTGGGCACTTGTGCACATTCATTTACCTGTTTTATTCTGATCATGACCATCTGAGACAGCTTCAGATCTTCCTAGCATTCCTGTTCATTATTAATGACTTGGTTTTGTGCTCTTTAAGGATGGGGAGGGGCGAGGGGAGAATGAATACTGAATAAATTATAATGGGAATAAATTAGTGTTAGTTACTATAACATTATATGCAAAGATATAGATGTCTGCAACATTTCGGTAAGTGAAATAGCAATAAAAGGTAAAGCCGACTTTAGGATGGAACCATTGGGTGAATTTCCATTGTTGTATAAAGTATCATCCATATTAACATCATCCTATTAAACGGGTGGCAATTGAGGAGATTTATTTTACCATCTATCTTTAAATTATTTCACGTACTTACCTTCCGGCTGATATTGTGCTACGATTGTTACTATCTGCCCTGCTCCTTTTAGTGCAGCTGCAGCCTGCTCATGGGTAGCACCCCGAAGATCAATACCATTCACCTGCAGGAGGGATGAAAACAAAAACTTGCTTCAAAATGGATCGAAAGCCATGGAGAATCTGCCTGAACACTTGGGAAAGGCTGTGTGTGTATGGGAGGGAAGGAATCATTTCACCAATGTTCAAGAGTAAAGACATAAATTATAATAGAGTCATACATTTACAGAGCTAGTTTGGTGATACATGATTTGTGAGAAAGTCAGACAAAGTGTCTTGGGTGCAACTGGGGTAAGTAAACATGGGAAATGAGTCGAGTAAGTGTCAGTTAAAGGACAGAATGGAAGAAGGATGAAGAGTTCTGAGGCCGTTGAAAAGCAACTTTGTGCTGCCTGTAAAAGGAAGAAGAGTCTCTTGGACTCAGACTTCTGCTCAGTGGCATTGTTCTTTATTCCCACACAATCCTTGGCATATTGACGACAGGCATTTGGGCATTTTGATGTCAGCCTTCAAAATAATTCCCACTTCCAACTATTATATAAGACTACCCAGAAGCGTCTAGGGAGTGTCATTGAGATGTTTCTTGGTGTATCCCCAAATGTTCATAATGTCCGCTAGGGAAGCTAATAAAGCAAATCAAATAATCATTTTAAAAGTCTTGATATGTGGAAGGTTATTATCAATATACATGAGTTTGGGAATTCCCCCAACCAGCCTTTCAGGTACAACTATGGATCAACATGTGCTGATGGACCATTTAAAGGAAACCATTCTCCCAACAGTCATCCCAGAAGACTTCTCAAAGAAAGCAAGTAGACAATGAATACTGCTTGACCAATGGTGATGGACCTACATCCAATCACTCTCAGAAATGGATGCAAACCTACCTTTATGCAGAAACTTTCAGGAGTATAGAAAGGTAGGAATGGAATAGACTTCCTCAAATCCATCCCCTGTGCAGTGGCAGGAATAGGTCAACCTAGACTATGCCTGACTGGTGTTTGCCCAACCTGTTTTTAAACATTTCCATTGATGGGGACTTCACAACCTACTTCGGAAGCCTATTCCGGATCTTAACTACCCAAACAATTAGAAGGTTTTCCCTACTATCTAGTCTAAATCTTCCCTGCTTCAGATTAAGACCATTAGTCCTACCTTCAATGTACATGGAGAACAATTGATCACCCTCTGCTTTATAACAGCCTTTAACGTATTGGAAGATTGTTATCAGGTCATTCTCCTGACTTCGTTTCTGAAGACTAAAAATGTTCACTTTTTCAACCTTTCCTCTTTTGTAAATCTTTTATCATTTTTAGTGTTCTCCTCTGGACTTCTTCCAATTTGCCCACATCTCTCCTATACTGTGGTGCCCAGAACTGGACATATTACTCTAGCTGGGGCCTCACCACTGATGAGCAAAGATAATTCTCAACCATGTCTTACATCTTTGTGCCTGTTAATACACTACAGAATCATATTAGCCTCATATTCTGTTTGTGGTCCACTACAGCCCTCAGATCTTTTTGAGTAATGCTACCACTTAGACAGTTATTCTCCATTTTGTAACTGTGCCTGTGTTATTCCCTGATTGGTAGTTGTGCATTGGAAATCCATTTCCTGCTTTTACATTGTAGAGAAGGAAAAGAGTTAGCTATCCTAGCTATGTAACTGACTTCAGGAAAACATGGGCAGGTATATTATGGGATAACCTATACATAAACCTATTTTGGTAGCCTCTAGATATTACAATGCCAGGCAGGCAACCCCTGAGACAGACTAGATTAGGCAGGATTAAACAAATAAAGAGAGATACGTTAAACTCCTGCAATAGACTACTTCACAGTGGACCGACCAAAAAGCCGATCAATCCCCCACAGATCAAGTAGTGTAGATAGGTACACTGATGGAGGACAGGCAAAGGGAGGAACTGCCCCAGGGCCTGGTGATTCAAAAGGGCCCAAGGCTCCCAGCATTGCCACTGCTAGTGTCGCCACAGCAACAGTTGAAGCCTTGAGCCCTTTAAATCACTGCTCGAGCCACACATAGCATGGTCCGGGTGATGTGGAAGGGCTGGCTGGGGGAGGCCAACCTCCAGCCCCACCTCTTTTACCTAAGGTCCCTCCCCTTCCAGGCATTTGGAGAAGTCCCCCAACTTGTCCAGGGCCCCAACAAGTCTGTCAGCCCCCCTAAATGCAGCCATGCATTTGTTATCAAGGTGGGTGGAATGGATTCTGTATACACACTGATTTGCTCTCTGCACTAGCTGCCTGTGGGTGGACAGAATGATTTCAAGGTTTTATTTTTGACATTTTAAAGTACCAAATACACTAGATCTTAATTATTTTTATGAGCTGCTAGAAAATTATTCAGGATTCATAGATTTTTAAAGTCAGAACAGACCTTTTTGATCATCTAGTCTGTCCTCATGAGGCATAATATAGGTGTAGAATTCCACTCATTTAATACAGTGGCGGTAAGTATTCTTTCCTAATTATGCAAATGAACACTATCAAGCCCAATAACTTGTGAGTGCATATAAGTACATTTTCCCCAAAAACAACCAATCTTGATAAAAGACACTAAGTGGAGATGAATACCCCCCACTTCCGCTTAATATCTCGCCCTCCTACATCAGAGAGGACAGTATATTTTGGCTTGACATCATGATAGCGTAAAAATAGCTAGTGCCTTTACCTTTAGTCCTGCAACTTATGCATGCCCCATCTCTGCATCCATGTGATTTTATTAAGACAATTGTGTATGGGAATTTTTTTCTATGGCATTATTACTTAATTGTGAATTGTGAAATCAATTTTCAATTTCTAATTTATATTTCTTTAAATAATTAGGTGTTAAGAACCTAGAATGCTATGCCAGGTATGAGCACTAAAAATACAAATGAACTGAACATTAGTCATGTATGTAAGAGTCTGTGGGTGTGTGTGGGTGCAGGAAGAGTTTAAAGCACTCTGAAGGTGTCACTTGGTTATTTTCTTTTATTAAATGGGACTGCTTCTTAAGAACTACATAGTAAGCTATGCAGCACTGTCGCCCTGAGCTTGACTGCACAATCCTGATGCCCCACTCCAGAATGAGTCTGAGTGCACAATTTCTGATGCCTAATTCTAAAATGAATTTGACATAATGGAAATCAGAAAAGCCTGCAGCTTATACAGATGTCTCTTCTGCATGCTGTGGCAGAAGGAGTGTAGAGAGACAATTGAAACAGACAACACTGTAATGAAAGATTATGATTCAAAAATATAAAAACAAAACTTCAGCTGAGATTGGCGCCCAGGCTTAAAACACTTCTTGATTTTGTGCAATCTCTGTTTTTTCTTAGCTACACACTTAGCCCTATTTCACCTTATACAAAAAATACAGTAGCTGGAATTGTAGGCACTGCTCTTTAAGGATCAATACAAATCATATTTAAGTCAGCCTTTTCCTAACTTCAATGACCATTATATCAGGCCCTAACCAATTTTGTATTAATACACAGCAAGGTAAAATCATTAGACTTGGACAGACTATGTACTTTTACATTTTTCTTAAGATGTTTAATCAAGCATGTTTACTCATGATCAACTCTGAATTGTGCAAATTAGAGGCTTTCAGTGTCTTTTCTTGTTGTGCTAACCTAAGTCTGATTCGTATGTAGGTCATTCAAATTCAACAAAGGCCAACGGAATAATCTATGGTATCAAAGCTACCTCTATTCTGCATTTGTACAATGATTAAATGAACAGAGTCCATGGGTAGGCTGCAAAGGAGAGAAGAAACATGCTGCCTTCTCTTGACGAGAAAACAAAAATCCGCTTTTTGTTTCTTCTTTCAGCTGTCAGTAGCGCTGCCTGACGCTTGTTACTGGGATAATCAAGTGGTAAGAAAACTGAACACTTTCATGCTGGAACAATAGAGCAGATTATTCAAATTGTGGTTCTTTGGTGGAACTTGTGGAAAAATTAGTGTGAATGATGGAAGATAAGATAAGACAAGATGATTTGGAACAAAATTCAACTCTCAGTGCCAGAAATCCCACTCTGTATACCATATGAGGACACTACCCATTTCCTCCTGCAGCCCCATGGATCTCAACGGCAGTTCTTGCTAGCACCCCCACAGTAATTGGTTCCCTCAGGATCATGTTCCGCCCCTCCCCCCACTCACGTCGCCAGCAGCCATGACTGCGCACAGAGGAGAGCATGCAGCAAAATCCCTGCAGGGCTGTGGGTGATGCAGGATTATGCCTATCTCATCTGATCTATGTTTAAATGTGCAAGAGGAAGAAACTGCCCATGGGAAAGTTACATGATGATTCTACCTAATGATGTGTATTCCTAAGACACTTTTTGTATTTTATAGAAGGAGGAAGGTACAGAAATTCCAGCCAAATCACAGTCCTTTGCTGAGACACAACAGCCTTGAGTATTGAAAAGCTCTTAAATGGAAAACAAATGACAGGGCAGTTATTTTCAGGCTGAATATCTGAAAAACCTTTGGACAAACGTAAAAAATCAGTGCTCATTGAGCCAGCACAGCATTTGGACAGCTCAAGAAACCACCATGACCAAGAGGCACCAAAGTTTGCTTTGCCACAGTACCTCATATCTTTAAGTGATGAGGGCAGGGTTCTCCGTCTTATGTGAAAAAGGCTGCTTAGCAGTGAATAAGAGGGGAAAATACATGGGAATGGAAGATTCTCCTTTCTACACTTTCTCAACCTCTCCACTTTCTCCCACTCACATTCTGATCCATCCTTCCTTTGTCCTCTTTCTGTTGTCCTCTCATTTTCTCACTACCCCTGTTAATGCATTCTCTTTGCTGTGCCCTCATCCTTTCTTTTTGGATGGAAGCGTCTTCGGATCAGAACCATGTAGGATTCTGAGCTCGTAGAGTACGTAGCACATTGTGGGAGCTACCAGTAACAATATCCTTGTGTCGACTCCTCTCCTCATCCTGCTCTTGTCCTATTGCTTATGGACTACTTTTTTCAATAATTTTTAAATATTTTTCTTGTCTGGGTTACATTGAGTTATAGCTTCACTCTAGTCAGCCCGTCTTT